AGTGGAACCTACATCCTCTTCCTCCAACTAAATAGAAGTGTCTTATTTTTTCTCTGGCTTGCCCCCCCCCCCTTCAAAAACGATGGTACGTCACTATTATATTTAAAACTATTTCCATGTATGTATGTGGAGACATTCTTATTCTATTTTTTATTTTAATAAGCGGAGGTATTGACTTGTTAAATAATATTGCAAGGATAAATAATCTATAAAATACATGTTGTATCCACAGGCACCTGACGTTACATGTGTACTTATTTTCGTTTAATAGAAAAAGAATATACCCATACCTAATATGTATTTTTTTATTAAAAGAAAAATAAGTAACGACAGGTTCCTGTGGTTGTATCTGTAAAAAATAAATTTTGTTGAACAATTAATTTCAGCTTTGATGTCTTGTATTAAATTATCTGCTATTCTTTATTTGATAATTGGATATTGTTTGTTAATCAATTGTTTGTCCTCTTCAAACCGGATATACAGGGAATATACTGTGTTCCCCGCCATATTTATACAAACACTAAACAACACGAGATGTTTTAGATCACTAGAGTTCAATCAATGAGCATGCGCATATTTAACACTAGTTTCTTCATAAATTTGTCAGTGTTTGTATTAGAAATTTACAACGTCAATGAAAAAAGAAGTTTATCCAGATTTTTTTTTAAAATAATTGTTGCCCGAACCCCTGGGACCTGTTTTACAATAGAACTTACGACTAATACCAAAAACTTATGTTGATTACAATTTTTTGAAAATTAACTGTTTTGGAAATTGTTACCATAGCAACATTCTAAATTCTTTTCAAGAAGAATAAAATCTCAGAATTAATTTTGGTCTTTGTAAGTTCTTTTGTAAAACGGGCCCCTTGATTACAAAAATGTCTAATAGATGCATATTGATTCACTAATGAAAATTATTTTTATAGATTTAACAATCGCAGCATAGATATGTCGTGTAAATTACCTTATGAAGTTAAATTATTATTGTTAATTCAGTTTTAAGATAATTACAGGATCAAATGTGAGAGCAATTACGATTACATGCATATATTACAATGTAATCTTATAAATATGGAGGTCGGGTCCTCAGAACCAACCGATTCTTTGTTTACAAGAAATGTTATAAGTATATAGAAATTACCTTTTCAGCCTTTAATTACAATCGTAATGATTATTGAACAATTTCATGCATATTTTTAAAAAAAAAAATTTTTTTAGCTGAAATATTGAACATTATTTTTACAGAATCAAAATTAAAATCCACAGCCATGTAAGACCATGAAATAAACACATAAGCTCAAGTTTTCTTTCCAACTGGCGTCACATTTTTTGGTAAAAGTATATGTCTCTCACATCCTATGACTAACACTATATTAATGAAAAATGTCAGCTATGGTACTTTTCTGACCAATTATTATACCCCATGCAAAATGTTACGGGGGAGAGAACACAGGCACGTAGCAGCTGATGGAAGCGCTCCCCACACTTTTTTTTCCAAATATCTCTTTACTTTTAAAAAATCTTCATTGAAAGACCACCGATAGCTTCCTCCCCCTTTTTGTTACAGTAAAGCCAAGCAAGGGTGAAGTCATCTTGAATGAATAAAATTTGGTGCTGAAGGAAGTGGGACCTTCATCCCCCTCCTCTAACTAAATAGGAGTTTCGTTTTTTTTCTCTGGCTTGCCCCCCCCCCCCTTCAAAAACGATGGTACGTCACAATAATATTTAATGCTATTGACATGTATGTATGTGAAGACATTCTTATTCTACTTTTTTAAATCTTAATAAGAGGAGGTATTGACTTGTTAAAAATATTGCAAGGATAAGTAATCTATAAAATGCATGTTGTAAAAAATAAATTTTGCTGAACAATAAATTTCAGCTTTGAGGTCTTGTATTTAATTATCTGCTATTCTTTATTTAATGATTGGATATTGTTTGTTAATCAATTGTTTGTCCTGTTCAAACCAGATATACAGGGAATATACTGTTTTCCCCGCCATATTTATTCAAACACTAAACAACGTCCCCAGAGGAAACCGGTCGACACAATGGAGGTTTATTTTTTTTGTGTAGTACGTCATCAAAAAGTGGTGTAATGAGCCTCCTTAATCCAGCATTTCTAATACTGTGGTTTCATCAATATTCGTTGAGCACCAATTTTCGAGGATTTCGTTGTTGAGCAGATCCACGAATTCAAATGTTCATCGAATTAAGAAATATGATATATATTTGTATAGGCAATGCTTTTGTCCACGAAATGACGTGTCCTCGAAAACGTCTGTTTTAAAATCCACGAAAATTGATGCCAACGAAAATTAATGAAACCACAGTATACTGTAAACCAACATTTATTCGCGTGCGAGAAATTTTCGCGAGGTTCGCGAGAGTCTCGTCATCGCGAATATTTCTCGCCGTGAACGGGTCCTTAAAGTCTCTTTTGCTATTAAAACAGTTTCAAAAAGGCTTGATCGCGAAAAATAATCGCCGCGAACTAGTTTACTCCCGGTTAATCGCGAAATAAAGTCGTCGCGAATAAAAGTTGGTTTACAGTATAGTTATTACTCAATTAACTTCTTGACAATCTCCCCCCTCCCCTTCTCCCTCTCTCTTTCAAAATATATATAATTTCATTGCACTACTATTACATATGGTGAAAATATGCAAAAATTATCCATTCCAGGATTCGAACCCATTCTCTGGTAAAAGTACTAGTTGGAAGTCCATCAGCATATCCATTAGACCATTTCGGACACGATGGTTTTGCAGTGTTATTTAAAGTACACATTTTGCATTTGGTTTGGGGAATAATTTTTATTCAATTTTTGCGTTTTTCAAAAATGTGCCTCTTTGAAACAAAAATCGGAAATGGCAGTTTTGAAGAAAATTCCTGCCTCTTTGTGTATATATCAAAATTATTTTGTTTCAAGAAGGCACTTTTTAAGAACAATGTGGATTCTCTATTTAAAAAAACGGAAAATCATATATTTTGCCGTAAGACTAATTTTCACATCATTTAATTGCAAATTGGAAGTCAATACACACCTTCCAAATATTGTTTCTCGTTGTGCTTTATATATTGTTGCATTTGAAAAAAATTAATATGAGTTTCTGCAACATGAAAATTCTTTTTTTAATCTGCTACACATTTAGGGAAAATAACAAAAGAACAGCAACACCTTCTTTATACCTTAACTTTGCAGATAATAAAAAGATTTTTTTCTTTCTTGCATTTTCCTTCTATCTTTTTGAAATAGATTTATTGGCAGTTGAAAATATGAAAATGTGAAAATAAAATTCATTGTTTGTACATGTATATATTATCGGACTCTCTACAGATTTAAAAAAGTACGTAACACCCATGGAATCTTTAAAAAGTACACTTTAAACAATAACAATGTAACTAAATTTTCAATAATCATTGGTCTTTGTAAAAATATATTTTCGCCATATTTTGTAAAAATTAGAACTATCCTATACAAACCGCAGGCACCTGACGCTCCCAGCTTCATAAAATTTTTATTAGACGCAAAAACTTATCAAAAATAAAATGCATGATTTCCTAGTCTATTATTCTTATATTTCGATATCTGATATAATTTTCCGCTTTTTTAAAGAAAAAATAATTTGTACCGGACGACAATAATGTAATTTGATTCAATCGAAGCTTATAGATAGTTCTTCCATCTCAAATTTGAACAACAGATGTTTATTAATGTAATTTTTTTCTGTCATTGAAATAACTATTTACAATTTGCAACAATAAAAAAAATCCGACATCAAAGTTGCAGCTCATATTGCTTTAACATAAGAAAATAGGAGCGGAGCAAACATGGACTTCGAAAACATCAGAGGTGGGATCAGTTGCCGTGGAGTGAGCATCCCCTGCCATCACAGCCGCTATGTGCTTTTTGTCACAATTTTCCTGTTTATGAAAATTCATCTTTTAATTGAATAGTCCTTGTCCCTTTAGATGCATGGAAAGGAGAATTTGTATAATTATAATAATCACCGTTCTATCGGTGAGACGCTGGTTTGCTTTTGTCATTAATTTCGGTACACAGTTTTAACGATTCAAGCAAATCTTTTGTGAACAATGGCGTCATTTACGTCACACAGGAGTTATTATTGCTGTGATTTTATGTAGAAGTGTGAAATGGATGGCTCGTTAACATAGCAGAAAGTACACCATTGCCTGCTTGTATGTCCAATTAATAGTCGACGCAGCTTTATTTGTTTTTATCTGAAAGTTTTACATAACAGATATATAATTGGAAAAGTAATCTGAAATGAAATTATTGTAATGAAGGAGGAAATGTGAAATTAAGGAAATTATGGCTTTTGAAAACACGCTCGTAAGGCCTCAATATTTATTATGATATACCGTGTATTGCATTACTTATTGAACGACCCGCATTACTTATTGAACGACCCACGTATATGTAACAAACATTCTGTGAAAGTCTAATTCAATTTCACTCATTGGTAAAAGAGGAGTTGTCGATAAGAGATGGTAAATGACATACATGTATATGTTTAATTTGCCAATCTTAAATTTCTTGAATTTCAAAGTGTTCAGCAATAGCTAAAACCTTTATAGTTACTCTTCGTTACCATTACAACGTTGACAAAAGGTAAAAAAAATGTTTTTCTTTCGTTCTTGATTAACATTTAACTTGCATCAGGTATCAAATGAAACGATTCTCAGAAAAATTCAGTGTTTAAAATATGTTCCATTTGAACACAGGATCTCAAATTTTCAAACCTTTTCGGCTATTAACGATGGCAACGACACACACACACCCTCACACACACACACACACCCTCTCTCACACACCCTCACAAACACACTCACACACACAGACACACACTCACGGACCCTCTCTCACACACACACACCCTCACACACACACACACACACACACAAATTTTCTGATACACGTTTCTGGAGTCAAGATCCATATAAATTATCGACCTTTCGTTGCAAAAAATTAGAAGTGGTTTAAAAGAATATTTCTTCAAAAGCAATTTTTTAATGTGAGACAACATATTTAAGCATTTCGTTTACAATTTCTTTCTTTTTTTCTTTCATCAAGTGTCTTGATTGCATTTTATACAGGTTAGGAAACACTTCAATTCCTCAACCCTGCGAGCCGCTGGGGTCAGGGTGAGCAGGAAAAGTCCTCCTATCTCTTTATCTACAATTTCACTGAAAAAAAAATAATTAAGATATACATGTACCTCCTATAAGATGATTTTAGCTTATAAAGGGTTGTGTTAAAAAATCTTTTTAATAGCATTCCTTTATCAATAAATCAAACTTAATGTTTCAGTTCTTGATTTATCATCATTTTGATTTCTGAATCATTGCTATCAACTCCCTTTTGATTCAGCATTTTTATCGCTCTAAATCAAGCAAAAACTTTTATTCATTTGGTAAATTCAGATTCCTTTATTGTACAGTGTATATATCTGTGATTTATCTAATTTCAGAATTTCTTCAAAAGATTTTTTTACTTAAAATAATTGTTTTTATACTTTTAAAAATAAATTTGCTTGAAATTAAAACTTTATTTATGCAACAAAATATATTTATTGCGCCCTTCTCAACACTGAGTGGACTAAGGTTTTTTTTGACATACATATTGTTGAAGAATTACATTATTAAATTAAAAAAACATAGGGAATCCTCAACATGTTCTTCTTAGTCATAGCTTTGGAGAAAAAGTAAAACATGATACAGACAAAATAGAACAATCATTTTCATGTACGTGTATCTCCCTTTTACAATTTTACGTTTGTTGTCATTGTATGTACAGCAACAAAGTTTTTGTTATATTAAAAGTTTATATTGGCCGATGGATGAAAGTTTAAATAAACTGGGTAATTAATCGCTATCTGAAATACACTGAGTTATTAAAACTCTTCACGGCTCCAAGAAGTGCAGAAGCTAGAGGATTGTATGCAAGGGTGACAAATGTGTATACATCTAAGACTTTTGATCATTCGTCATGGAAAATATATTCGAATTTTAACTTTATTCTAATCTGTTTGTTTAATCTAACACTGGAAAATGGCTAGAAAGAAAAAAGACTGGGTACCCAAGCAAGGGAAATGGGACAGAAAATCTTTGAGTAACGCTGTTCAGTGTGTTAAAACGGGGAAAATGACCAAGTTTAAAGCTTCTAAAGTATTTGGCATTCCAAGAACAACCCTGTCGAGGAGACTTTTAACAATGGATTTGGAGTCTCCAGCATCAAAACCAACCATTCTGTCTAAAGAGGAAGAAAACTCTCTTGTTGGTCACATTTTGGAAATGGAGGAACGCGGGTTTGGTTTGACAATATCAGATGTGTGTAAGCTTGCATATTCAGTAATTGCACAGTCCGGAAGAAAAAATCCATTTAATCAAGAAAAGAAAATGGCAGGATATGACTGGTGGCAGGGATTTCGAGATCGGCACCCATGCTTATCTCTCCGTAAGCCTGAAGGTTTGAGTGCTGCTCGTAGTACTATGCTAAATCCAAATGTATTTTCAGACCACTTTACTAAGTTAGGGAATCTGATGGATAAACTCAATATAAAGTCAAAGCCCCAGCAAATATTTAATGCAGATGAAACAGGATTCAGTACAGTTCATCAGACATCAAAAATTGTGGGGAGGAAGGGGAAGAAAGCCATTCATGCCAAAACAAGTGGTGAAAGGGGTGAAAACATCACAGTTTGTTTTGTGTTGTGTAAATGCTGAGGCCCATGTTTTGCCACCTATGGTGATTTTCAAAGGAAAAAGAATCAGTCAAGCTTTAATGAGCAGTGCCCCAAAGAACACACTGTTTGCATGCAGTGAAAGTTCATTTATTGATGGAGAACTCTTTGGAATGTGGTTCGAAAAGATTTTCTTGACCAACCTCTCACCTCAAAGACCAGTGTTACTGATAGTGGATGGCCATGCCTCTCATATCACACTTAATCTTTTAGAAGCAGCGAAGGCCAATGATGTTGAAATATTCTGCTTACCGCCTCACACAACACATTGGACACAACCACTGGACCGAAGTGTTTTTGGGCCCTTAAAGAAGGCATACTACAAGCAATGCGAATTGTTTTTAAAATCAAATCCTGGCAGACAAATTTCCAGATATGACTTTTGCGGAATTTTCTCACATGCATATAATGAGAAAATGAACATGGTAAATATCTTTGGAGGTTTTAGAGCCACCGGAATTTTCCCCTTCAACCCCCTTGCTATTCCTGCAGAGGCATTTGGGCCATCAAAAACTTCTGTCTTAGCATCAGTGACCAGCACAACCAGTGAGGGAGAAGTTGCATCAGCTGAAAACACGTCAGTATCCACTGGTCAGCCAACCCAGGTTCCACAGAGCTCCTCTTCAGTCTCGGAAGATATTACAAGATCACTTCAACTTCCAACAGTTGTCAAAACACCTGCTGAAAGAAAAACTAAAAAAGTGTTTGGTGCAAGATGTATAACAGAGAATGAATTCATCAATGAAATCAAACAGAAGGAGGAAAAAAGAGAAAAGGATCAGACGGAAAAGGAAATCAGAAAAAAAGAGCGTGAAGAAAAGAAACAAAAGAAAGATCTGGAAAAATTGAGGAAACAGCTTAAGTCAAAGAAGACAAAATCAAAAGCCACTGCAAAGGAGAACACCCCTTCTCATACTGCTACCAGTGAAGTTACTGAAAACTGCTGCTCCTACTGTGGGGGGTACTTTTATGACGAGGATTCTGATGACGAGGACTGGATAAAGTGTAGAAGATGTGATGACTGGTACCATGAATCCTGCACTGGGAAGTATGGTCGCCAGTTAGAACATTTTGTATGTGACAAGCACTGATAATTTTTTTCATTTTAATTTGACGTTCCACTTTCTCATCAGTCATGTGTTGTAGAATGTTTTGTAACCTGTGTTAAGTACTGTAAAAAATTGGATGTTTTGAGCTTTTGAATTATATCAATGATTTTATGCCATTAAATTAAAAAAAAATATGCATTTCAATATTTTTCAGAAATGAAAAGGAAAAGATAAAAAACAGTGATTAATTTCATAAGGCTTAAAATTAAATAATTTCAATTGGGAAGAAAATTAAAAATAAATTAACTAATTTTAACTTTTTTGTACATAATTAAGTATAAAAAGGTGACTAATTTCATACTTAAAGATAATGAGTACTTTATTTTCACATTTTTCAAAATTGACCATTTACCCCATATCTTTGGGGTAAGTGAACACTTTTTAAATTTAAACTTCGAAGCACATATTCTTCAAACCATTTGCATTATGTTTAAAAATATTTTACACTACTAAGAGATAACAGTGAACTATGAGTTTAGTATAATACAAGAAAGATTGGTTTAGGTTAGAACTTTTCAGACTCAAATTAAACCCTTAATGTGTCCACTTACCCCAATTGCCCCTACATGTACAAACCATATTTAGCGTAGTGTTTCAATATAACAAAAAGTAATATTGAATGCTAACTGGCGTTTTTCATACTAAATGTTGGGCCATTATTTACACACTGAGTTGTTGACGGATTTTTTTTTACCGTCGTTTCCCGTTCTTGACATTAAGGAACCGGCGGATGTGACCGGTCGACAGGTAAATGCTCATCTGATCCCGCTTCTGATTGTTTAATACTGTTTGTTATTTCTTTAAATCAAATTTCATTGACACACCTAGCAATGTCTTATACAGAAACAAGTCTTGTCATACGAATCATATTTATCTCTTTTGAAAAATTAAATTCCCTCTGAAATGTACATAATTAATTAAAAGTATTTAACTCATCTATGACGAACAATTTATTTTCTGATTATTAAAAATCAGTTTCTCTCATTACAGAGCAAATATTTAAAAAGAAATCAGATATTGGATGGTGTGAACTGCGAAGCAAAGAAGTGCTGTGTCATACTGTATTTTTTCTATTCACTACCACCCGGTAAATTAAAAAATTACAATATGACAGCTATATGTTTCTTTTAGTGTTAAATGCTAAATATTTTAGGTAAATTAACCACTGCAAACATATATTAATTTGGTTTGTGTCCATCAATCTCGCTCATCCTTAAAATTGTGATATTTGAAGCTCACAATAAAATCTTTAGATTTTGTTCATTTGTTAATTTTACACAGGCATGTGTAACCTTTTAACAATGGTTAAACAATAAATTTCAATTAATGTCTAATCATTGCACTTTTTTAGCAAAGCATATCTGTGAACTTTTTTAAAATCATATATTAAGAACATTGAAAGTGTCGCAAAAATATACGGAAAAAATCTCTAGTGCAATTTTCATCTACGGAAAAATGTAATACTTTTTAGCTCACCTGAGCTGAAGGCTCAAGTGAGCTTTTCTGATCACATTTTGTCCGTCGTCCGTCCGTCCGTCTGTCCGTCCGTAAACTTTTCACATTTTCGACTTCTTCTTAAAGGCAGAGATTTTAAGCACCGCCTTCAAAAATACCAGGTCTGGGTAGCCCTGTCAATCAAGTGCAAGAAGGTCCATCATTGGATGCTGGAACTTGATTGACATTTACTTACTGGTACCCGTGTATACCCTGTCCACCTTGTCTGGGACTCGTGGTGACCTTCTAATTCACTTTTGATCCTTTGATGTTTATTGAACATGGTGTACAGAAACTGTATTACTATGAAAATGTTTAGACTGATAACATATGAATTAAATATATCTTTAGTATTTGAACGAATTTTAATATAATATGCATTTTAAAAAAATTAAATTAACCTTTGGTACATAAAACTTTTATTTCCAAATGAAATTTCGATATTAATTAAAATGCTAACGGTAAACCTAAAGTGGCAATGTTATTTATAAGGTTAAGAGCAGCACTGTTTTAAGTAATTAAAGTTAAAAATAATGTTTCTAATAATGGGTCATAAATATTTTCCTTTTTTTCAGATATTTTCAGAATTTCCAAGCAATTTTTTTAGCATGTTTTATGATGACAAAGCCTTATTAAGGTTAAAATAAACCTAGATTTTTTTTCGTGATATGTACGAAAAATTTTGATTCTACACTACCCCAGGATGCTTCCACGTAAGTTTCAGCTTTTCTGGCCCAGTGGTTCTTGAGAAGAAGATTTTCAAAGATTTTTCCTATATATTTCTATGTAAAACTTTGATTCCCCATTGTGGCCCCACCCTACCCCCAGGGATCATGATTTG